ATTCGAATATTTATAAAATGTATGTTTTAGGCTACAAGTGCAAACAATCTGACTTAATCCTGCTTGTTATTTCTTTCAGATTTCCTGAACCTGAGGAGAAAATACCACAGGCACCACTGCCCGCACAGACGCTGCCTGCCCCTGCACTCCAGAGTACCCTTCCCCTAAGGTAAGACATGTGGCGCTCATACATGTGTTTCTGGGTAAAGGAGGTTATGAGCTGAGCTGTGTGATACATGGAGCAAAATAAAATTAAAAACCAGGTTATGGAGGCTGGCAGGTGGCAGTTAAGAAGGTGTGTGTGATTAGTGGCAGAGGTGTGTATTCACGCAGAACAGGAGTGCTGCCAGGGGAAAAGGCTCTGACATAAATCTCACTAACGATGAAGAGGAAGGATTTAGTGCCTTGAGGAGTGTTTGGGGAGAGAAAGGGGAGAGGTTTCAGCTTTAATTTTTGGACTCCTGTACACGCACAGCTACTTAAAGTAACCCTGAACTCCTTAAATTTCCCTCGGGATAAATAAAGTATCTATCTTTTTGAGCAGGACACTAAATTCAGTTTTTTCTTACAGGTTGAAGCACAAGAATGAGCCTAAAGAAGAGGAATATGAAGCAGCGTACACCGTGGAACTGCCATAGCTGCCCAAAAGAGCTACAAGAAACTGAAAAGACTCTAAAAAATATAAGACCATGCAAAAGTTTTGGGCGTCCCGGTGGATCCAGACCTTCCTCTCTTCATCCTCGAAAAGCCACAGAATCTGTGCGCTGAACAAGAACAAAGGGAGAAGGAGCTGCAAGTTCGACGATCGACTTAAAAAGCTACGGACCAAAGAGCTGCAAACATCTTAGTGACTGCAGCTATGATGAACAGCATCCACATATTATTCCTACAAAGTGTTTATAATGCATGTATGCACTTCAAATGTTTATTGAATTACATTTAAAACTTTTTAATAAAAACAAATGTATCAATGTAGAGTTTTGTTTTTACGTCATTCGTTTGCCTGTTGGGATCCAAATAAAGATCCAGGTTTTTAAGCCAGACTAAATTCAGGGGAGCTTTTAGTAAAAAAAAAAGGATTGGTCTAAGTATTAAAGAGTAAAAAAGCAAATATCTTTATATGTGTGACCTAAAAGCCAAAGATCAAACAGGGTGGAAGGGCTACCTGCGGTACTCCGGGGTGACTCCGAGCTCCCAGGAGAGGCCACACATGGGAACGGAGTCGTAAATGCAGCGCTCCCTGTGGAGTTACGGACGCTGGAGCATAAAGACATCACAATGGGGGAGCAAACACCAAGGGGTTCAAATGACGACCTCGATATTTCGTTAACGTAGATTCCCGTGACTGTTGAAATTTAACACAGAAGAAAAAAGGGGCGAGGGCGGGAAAAGACAAATGACGCCGGCTAACGTTGACACTGCTGTGTTTCCTATTGTTTGGGATCTTCTCCTTTTGAGCTCTCGCAGTACGTTACACAAAATAAACACTTAAAACTGCCGTCACTTAACTTGGGTAACCCTACTGTGTCACCTCTCATCCTGACCAGGCTTAAACATAAAATAAAACAAAAACAGTGACAATATTAAATATTTATTGGAATCAGATCACAAATACACTCATTGAACAAATAGAGGAAAAAATAACCTGCTACCAAATAAAGCACATTCAGACATAAAATAGCACTTGAACAACTGTTGATTTGACCCTGATGAGTGATAACCTCTCCCTCCCCCCTGTAGCTCCGACTCTCTTCCTTAGTGCAGATAATCTCTAAAACAATTCGGCCTCTTCTGTTTCACTCACAGTGACACAAGCGGCAGCACATACGGGTCACTGGGGGTCGTAAGACAGTGATAAAAACCCCTCACCTCTGATCTGTGACCCATGACTTCCCTCCTCCTCCTCCTCCTCCTCCTCTTTAACTGTCCACTTACAGCTCACCTCCTCCTGCGTTATCTGTCCATCTCAGGTGAGGATGAAACCCTCCGCGTCTTAAATCTGTGCACGCAGGTGCTTGTGTGCACAGGGATTTCTTTTCTCTTTTAGTCTTTTATCCAGTGTTTTCTTCTTGCTTCTGGCCTCTCTTTCAAACCCCACAGAATCCCCTCTTCCTCCGTGTGAAGAGAGCATAAGGAGGAGGAGGAGGTCGGGCTGTGGTCAGTGCTGAGCGGTGAGGTTGAGCAGCCTCTTGCTCAGTAAGGTGTTGTGCTGTTTCAGGTACTCTATCAGGTCGGCCTGCTTCTCCACCACCTCCTCCAGACTGGAGCCCTCTCTGTGACACAGATGATAGCACATAAGCCTCCTTTTCACATGAATCTGCAACATTGCTGGCTTTCTTTGTCTGTTTAAAGATGAGGCTGCTTTCCCCCGGCAAATACACAGTTTAATCCTGATTTAGAGGTGTTTGGAAAAAAAAATAAAAAATAACTACAGTTCCCACCTGTTCTAGCAAATCATTAAGCCCTTCTTTAAAAACATACATCTGCAGTAATAAATGGGCTAAAAAGTCTAAAAAGTTTTGTTTCTTTTTAAAGATTTTGTTTAGCAATAACAAAAAACATACAACGTGTGCCTTGCTCTTAAAAAGTAAGTAACTGGTTCATAAATGTTCCTTAGTGGCTCTATTCAAACATGACAAGACCATTATGAATAAAAAATGCAATGTTTGTGCAATATGCAGCCTCAATATGAAAGTTAACGAGTTTGAAATAATGACGTGAAGGAAGAAAAGTAGCCTCAGTTTTCTGCAACAGGGACAGATTTTAAAACTTATTTTGTAGTTAAAGAGCAACAGAGACTCAAAAAAACCCCAAAAGGTTTGGACTAATTCCTATTCGCTCATATGTTGTATGTAAAACATTTTTGCTCAAAATTTATACTGTCTACCGGATCTAACATAAGAAGAAAATCTCAACTTCAAATTGGCCCATTAAAAGTATTTCAGGGTTTATTGAACCGATTGTTTTATCTTAAACAAAAGTATTACAGTATACTCCAGAACTTGGACCTAGAACCACATTTAACATCGTCTCTGTGTTTATTTAACTTTGTTCTGCTGAAGGCTTCATGTTACGGAGACGACATTTGATTCAGACTGGAGCTGTGTTGCTGACAAACACTGCAGGGAGAGTTAACTCTGAGGCTTATTCAAACATGAGAGAAACGTGTAAAATTTCAAGCACTTTTACGTAACATGACGTATGTCTGTAAGGGGCTATGATCAGTGTGTGTGTGTGTGTGTGTGACTGAGCGTAATCCGTGTACCTGAAGCCGGTCTCAGTCGGCAGGCTTGTGATACTAAAGTTGTGTGAATGTTCTTCTTGGCTCACATCTGGTGCAGCTCGCTCTCTGTTGAACTGCATCACTTTAACTAAAAACCAAAAAAATCTTCAGTTACTTCATCGAAACCTGTGTTATATCTTGTCAGCTGCACATTAAGACACACACAGACATTATTGAGAAGAGAAAGCTGTCCTACAAACATTAATCACTCAGGTGAGAAACACCACACATTTGTTTTTTTACTGTTTTCCATCCCTCTCCCTCTCCTAAACACACACAGGCTGTTATATCCTGCACTTAGTCCTTATGGGCTGTCATATCCTGCACTCAAACCTCTAATTCTCACACCCTAAAAATACACCTTTACACAAGAGGCGGGGTAAGCAGCAAGGTGTCGGTGTGGAGTCTACAGTAGCTGGAAGAGGAGCCAGGGCTAAAAATATGGGAGATGTTGGTGCTGTTTGAATTAAGATAAGGCCGAGGGGTGTGGGGTTTGCAGGGAAGAGTGTGTGAGGAAGGGCAGAGGGAGGAGCTGGTTGAGTATTGATAAGACTTGAGTGTCATTAGCCAGAGGAAATTGTCAGGGAGGCTCTAAAGAGCGCTATCTTTACTTTGCTACAGTGCAGCATCTCAGCATCCACACTCACACACAATCTAAAGAAATACTGCACATTCCTGCATAATGAGGCCCTAAATCTGTGTGTCAGTGTGTCAATACAGCAACAGTAAGCAGGTATGTGAGGGACAGAGAGAAAGAGAGAGAGAGACATTCCAGAAAGAGCAATGAAGAGGAATGAAGAGGTAGAGAGAACAACAGAAGACAGTAAATTGACAAAAGGTGATGGTGAGTCTGCGTTTGCTGGGTGTTTGTTTCAGAAAGTCAAACTGCTGTCAAATATTTAACTAAACACCAATAAAGCAAACAATGTAAAAAGCAAATGTTGGCTGAAGTAAGTTACGGTAAAACGTTGATTAAATCATATATATTAAGAGCAACCTGTTATATGAGAATATTAGTTAGGTTAATAAATGGAAGTCAATGTATTTATTGCAAGAAGCAGAACACGTTTACAATCAATTATATTAGATTTACTGTGATTATCTGACACAGCTGATAATGATGTCCGTCCATTGTTTTGTGTGTATTTACACATTCTGGATTTGTGGCTTATAAACATAATAAAAAAGAACCAATAAACACATGAATTAAGCTCTGTCAACCATGTTTTCTCACCTATATTATTAACATTATCTTATTTTGGAAAAGGTTTTCATTATGAAGGGACTGTGGGACATTCCTCAAATATCAATACGTTCTTCAAGGTTCTTAGACTTCATAAACTTTATTATATAAAGATACGCTGCAATCAGGAATACTGACTAACTGAATGAGAGAGTTTGTTTTATAATTGAGTTTTGGTTAGCAGCGTATATTTAATTATATTGGAGAGGTTAAGCTTGTCATAATGATTATTATGATACTACAGTTAGGATTCAATATTTCCTTTTCTAAGTATTGTTCCCTTGTTATTCTTTTTATATATTTATATATTATATGTAATGAACTTTTGTTTCACAGTATGGTTTTTCTCTGATTTTGGTTATTATTGTTTGTTTTTGTAGTTTATTTATTAATTTAATAAAAATATCTAATTTTGGTGTGTAGATGCAACAGTAATTCATTAGTTTGAGTAATTTTAGATTGTAATATTGTGTAATTTCAGGTTTTATTTAACCTGATTTCAAACATACTTTCACCAAAACAACCAGTTGAGATGCATTCAATTACCAGAGTTTTGGCTCTATTTGTTATGAGCAAACCTAAAGTAAAGACCCCGAATGGGTGCACATACAGAAAAAAGGAACAGGATGAGGACGAGGATGTCCAGGGAGTCTTTCAGGTGTGTGTAGTTCAGTGTATTACAGCAGGGGGCAAAAAACAGACACCAGGATGGATGGATGGATGGAGGGAGGGAGCAGTGTAAAGGACGTGACACATTTCACACGTCCATGTTAAAGATTCTCACACGGCTGGACAGACAGTGCTCAGACCTGGTCTACTCAGATCTGAGAATCTGCAATCACCTATTAAGAAGTACACATTTCCTAGGTGCTAACAGTGGAGCTGCAGAGGTGCTAACAGCTCCTCGTACCACATATAGTGCTCACAACTTATGCACCGCTCGAATCCAAATCAAAGAACTGGAAGGAAATAGATCCCCCAGCAACCGCGGAGACTGAATGGAGTAACACAAGACGAAGGAGAAGACCTTTTAGTTGCAACACAGGACATTAAAATAGTTCAAAGGTGTGTGCGAGTTTACAGTCTAGTGGAAAATAAACGCTGTTCATGAAAGTGTGTCACAGTTCTACGACATATAGTTGATGCTAAACTGAGAAAATCACATATCAGTTATGGTACTTTTAAAGGAGTACAGCTTGGATGGGATACCAATACCATTATCGATACTGCGTGATTGATTCCTGATTAAGTAGGCATACGCAGGTTTTCAGCATCAACGCAGCTGTTTTTATCTGTGAGTCTGAACAAAGTGTAGAAACAAGAGTAGAGTTGTAGTAGTTTGAGTTTCTTTGTGAAATTAAGTCACACTTTGGACCGTTTCTTCTTCTTCACCATGTCTCCTTCTTGTTGCAAGTTGTGCCTCCATGTTACGATGGATCGGACAATTTGGTGCCGGTTCTCAAAACCCATCCCATCATTATAATGACGCTCCAGTGTAAGAAAAAGTTTAAATGATAGTAAAACATCTGAAGTATCCGTGTTTAGAACAGATTTATACAAGGTCGGGTAGAGTCATTTAGTTAAGAGCCAGATCATCAGAGAAGTTATCTCTGGACATACTCCTTATAAAATTAATGATGTGCATGAAGTAAGTCTTGTTGATAATTCAGCTTTATCATTTATCATCACTCATGAGTCACATAGTTGTTGTAATTGAGATGGATGCTCAGTGGATGTTTTTATTTATTTTTAATTTTTTACCAAAATCTGTCATGTCAAGATCTGAAACTTTTGAAATTAAGACATTCTGTTAAGATAAATACACATTTAACTTTTTTAAACGACTTTGTATACTTCAGTGAATATCATTCAATATCAATATTGAGAAAATGTTTTGATACTTAGAGTGATATTTACTTTGGACACTGAACATCCCTTGCATGGATCTACAGTAAAGGAACAGGCGTGAACTATATTTAGGATAGAAACTATGTTTCAAACATATGTTGAACAAGTCCATCTGCACCTCATATATACTTTTAATGGTCTGCACTTTTACATCTCCTATTTCATACAGCACAAGGGGTGTGTGTGTGTGTGTGTGTGTATGTGCGTGTGTGTGTGTGTGATCGGGGTATACTGTAGGAATCTCTATCAGTGTGCCCCTGTAGGCAGAGGAGAGAGATGTATTCTAAGTTAAGCCTTTGAAGGCCAAGACATGGCTTTGATGTGCATGTAGGTCTATAGAGGAGAGTGTATTCATGTTAAAATGAGAGAGGCAGAAACATACAGCAAACCTCAAAGACACACACACAGGCACACACACACGCACTTACAATGAGCATGCACTTCAAAGAGAAGTTGAACGAGGCCTTCCTGTATGGACTTCATAGCTGCAGGCATTATATCTCTGATTCTCTGTCTCCTCTAAAAAAGAGTTTTTCTTCTTTCCTCCTGAACTTCCTGATTTCACCTTGACTCTGGATCAGTCGGAGTATGTGTGTGTGTCTGCGTG